TTAATTTACAATTACCCTTTATATAAAACTCAGTCTTATAAAATATGAGTGTTTATGACTTTTGTTTCTCTAATCTACCCAAACTAACTCATTTCATTAATTACTCCTGAAATTCCCTTCCCTTCCCTGTCATCAACACTCCACCTCTGTATTCCCTATATTCTCTTGTATCAGTTATAATTGTTATACATCTACTTCTCCTGTGCTTCACAGTTGGGGGACCCAAAAGAGGAAAGTTTGCACGTGATCTGTTTCTGATTTCTTTTGGGCATATGACCAGTAATGGCATTGCTGGATCATATGGTTATTCAGTTTTGATTTGTTTTAGGTATTGCCATATTGCCTTTCATAGTGGCTGTATTTATTACAAGTCCATCAGCAGTGCATATGAGTTCCTACATCACCACAACCTCTCCAACATTCATTGTTCTCATATTTTTGTTTTGTTTTAAACTGGGCTAAAGTAATGGGTGTTAGGTGGTATCTTATTATTGTTTTGATTTGCATTTTCCAGATGGCTAATAACCTGGAGCATTTTCTCATGTGTTTATTAGCCATTTAAATGTCATTCTTTTGTCCACCTTTTGTGAATCATCTGTTCAAGCATTCTCATAGGGTTATTAGTCTTTTCTTGTAAGTTTGTAAAATTCTGTAGATCTTAGTAATTAGTCCTTTGTCTGTTATGTCATTACTAAATATCTTTTCCCAATCAGCGGGCTCTCTTTTCACTCTTTAATAAAATCTTTCAATGTACACAACTCTTCTATTGTTAATAGGTCCCATTCATCTATTTTATCTTCTGTGGAGTGTACTTCATCTGTTAATTCTGCTAGCCCATGTATTCCCTGCATTTGAGAAGTACATATTTGCCTTAAAGTGTAACAAGGAATAACAATGTGTATCTACTTCCAGAAATAAGTAATTTTTCAAATTAATTAAGTATTAAGATAACAGATGGACATTGGGCCTTGACTCAAATATTCCCTCAATGCAAGAATACTTTGTTCTAATAATCTGGTATGCTGTGATGCTCATCTTCCCATCACGCTTGCTGAAGACAAAATGGGTACATAAACAAATGTGGTAAAGAAAGCTGATGATATCCAGCTATCAAAATATAGAGAGTATGGGGTCTTAAATGTGTGAAGATAAAGCAGCCATCTAGCTGAGAAGCAACAAAGCCTACATGGAAGAAGCACACCAGCCTGTGTGATCATGAAGTCCCAATGGGATCAGGTATCAGGCATCAAAGATCCAGAACAAAAATCATACCAATGTGAATGATGGGGAGGGGCATGGAGTGGAGACCCAAAGCCCATCTGTAGAAAATTAGACATTCCTTTATACAAGGGTCACAAGAAAGAGACTAGCCATTCAGGGCACAGTATAGCACCGATGAAACATACAAATTTCCTCTACTTCTTTAATGCTTCCTCCCCCACCACCTACTATCATGACCCCAATTCTACCATACAAATCTGACTAAACCAGAACATGTACACTGCTACAGATGTGTGCCTACAGGGAATCCAGGACAGATAAATCCCTCTAGACCAATAATGAGAATAGAGATACCAGGAGGGGAAGGGGAAGGTGGGGGGAGAGAGGGCAAATTGATGACAAGGATTGATATATAAACCCTTCCCAGGGGAATGAATAACACAAAAGTGGGTGAAGGGAGACAACAGACTATGTAAGTTATGAAAATAATAATTTATAATTTATGAAGTGTTCATGATGGAAGGAGGGAGGGAGGGAGGGAAAAATGAGGAGCTGATATCCAGGGCTCAAGTAGAAAGAGAATGTTTTGAAAACAATGATGACAACATATATACAAATGTGCTTGACACAGTGGATGTATGTTCGGATTGTGATAAGAGTTGTAAGAACCCCCAATAAAAGCATTTAATAAAAATAAATAAATAAGTGAAAATAAAGAAATATGAAACCCCTCTGCCCCAAATCTTGGAAGTCAGATTGATAGCATTCAACTGTACAGTTTATTTCTCTTTATATTCTTTTGTTAGCTAAATTAATTCCTAGATTATAGAATCAGAGAAACATCTCTGTATGAATTGTCAATGTCTTAGAATAATTATTAAGTTAAATAATTCACTTAGACTAATTATTTAGCCAAACCATAGAATTGCCTCATCAGTTAATCTCCATTCTCTATTCCAAAATTCCAAGGAGCCTTGGTGTCACAATGATTAAATTCTGTTTTGCAATAAGAGCCCACATGGCTACATGGCTCTACAGAAACACCTGGGGTCTGCTCTTGTGAAGATTATAACCCCAAAAGCATGTCACTCACTCACTCACTGCCATCAAGTTAGTACTACCATTTTGGGCTTTTGATAATATAAATCTTTATAAGAACAGAAAGCTTCATCATTTTGTATGGGAGGAGGTGGTAGATTCAAACTGATGACCTTGCAGTTAGTAGCCCAACACATAAACCAATAAACCAAAGGACTCCTGTTAGAGAACTATTAAGAAAACCAGATGGACCAGTTGTGCTCTGTTACATGGGTCTTGTGAGTTCAATTGACTGATGACACCCCAGTTCAGCAGCACTCAATTTTTCAGTCCCCATCAAAATAGGGTGTTTTTAGTTCTTAAACCTCAGATTATAAATAGATGTTTTCTATGTGTTATTTTAATTCCCAGGGAGAATTATAAAAATATGTCTGCTTACCGTTATATCAATTATATTTTAGAATAGTAGCTGCTAAAAAAAGATTACCAGATTTCCCCCCAAAATATAGACATTTCTAATGTCACATATGTGACTGAAATATTCCTAGCTCTGAGTGAACTTGTGTGTGTACTCACTTTGGTATTAAATCTTTGTACTTCTGATATTTTAATAATTGCCTTTTTCCTATAACGATTATGTTAAAGTAATATGCGTCTTACTAGAAATTGGACTTCCATTTTTTTTTACCCAATATAAATAAATTGTCATTCTTTCCACAGAATTTCTCAGATTTGGGACTTAATTATGAGATTTCATTTTGTATTTAAGAATCATATCCTTTATATATATATAATTTCTAGGATCTATCTTGAAGTTCATTACTTTCTGTGATAGCAAAATATCTATGTATCTACAAGAAAGACTATTTAATACAACTATTATTCAGATCTATGTCCCCAAAATTAAAGTCACTAGTGAATAAATTATTCTACCAACATCTTAAGATTGAAGTTGATCAAAATTTCAATAACGAATTATTCATAATTACTGGTGATTGGGATGAAAAATTTAAAATGAAGATGAAATATCATTAACTGAAAAATATGTTCTTGGTGATAGAAATGAAGTTGGAGATTGCATGGTAGAATTGTTCAAGATCAGTGATTTGTACATTGCAAATACTACTTTTCAGCAACACAGACAGTAACTGTGTATGTGGATTTCACCTGATGAAATTCAAAGGAATAAATCAATTACATTTGTGTAAAGAAAAAAAGAAGTCCTACAACAACTGCTAAAATCTGGACAGCATCCTATTGTGAAACAGACAATAAATTATTCATATAAATTGTTAATTTGAAGGTAATGAAATTGAAGTGACTACAAGTCCCAAAATACAATCTTGAGTATTTTGCCCAATCTGAATTTAAAGACCATTTTAAGAACAGATTTGCTGCATCAAAATCCAGATGAGTTGCTGGAAGACATCAAGAACATGATGCATGAAGCAAGGAAAACATCAGAAAGAAAGAAATGACAAAAGCAGATGTCAGAGGGACTCTGAGATTTACTTTTGAGTGTGGAGTACTTACAGCAATGGAAGAAATTATGAAGGAAAAATGCAGAGCAGGAAATTTCTAAATGTTATCTCAAAAAGATAGAGTATTGTAATGAAATGTGCAAAGTCCTGGAACTAGAAAGTCAAAAAGGAAAAATACTTCCGCATTTCTCAAGCTGAAGGAACTGAAGAAAGCAATGCAAGCCTCTGGTTGCAATATTGACAAATTTTATGAGCAAACTATTGAATGATGCAGGGCCTAGTCACTATTCAAGAGGAATTGGTTGACGTTCAACCATTCCAAAAAGTAGCATATGTTAAATCAATGATATTCAGTGAAGAACTCCAAGCTGCACTGAAGGTATTGGTGAAAAACTAGACTTCCGGGATTGAGGGAATATCAATTGAAATATTCTAGTATATTTTCATTGGAAGCATTCATTTGTCTATGCCAAGAAATCTGTCAGACAGCTACCTGGACAACTGACTGAACAGTTTGACATTTTGGCTCCTTCTCAAATAAATGACCCAACAGAGTATGGAAATTATTCAATGATAACACTAGTATCACAGATAACAAACGTTTTAAGACAATTTAAAATGGTTGCAGCAGTACGTTGACATGGGGCTGCCATAATTTCAAGCAGCAGGAGAAGACGACATGAGGAACACAGTTGAAGATCAAAATGATGTGTCCTTGTCATTTATTGACCATGCAAAGACATTTGACTGTGTGGATTTTAAAGAGAGCTATAAACCACATTGCAAAGACTAGGAATTCCAGAAAATTTAATTATCCTCAGGTAGAAATTATACAGAAATCAAGAAGACAGTCATTCACCCAGAACATGAGGATATGGAATGGTTGAGAATTACGAAAAGTGTGTGTCAGCATTGTGTCATTTTACAATACTTGTTCAATATGTGCTCAGAACAAATCATTGGAGAAGTTGGACTATATGAGGAAGAACATGCCGTCAAGTTTGGAGGGAAGCTCGTTAACAACCCGAGATATACAGATTACTCAGGCTTGCTTGCTGAAAGCAAGGAGGACTTGTAACACTTGATGCAGATAAAATATTAGTCTTCAGTATGGATTTCAACTTAATATGAAGAAAATAAAAATCCTCATAACCGGATGAATAGACAACATGATGACAATAGGAGCAAACACAGAAGTTGTCAAGGGCTTCTTTTAACTGGAATCTATATTCATAGAAGCCGCTGTCAAAGAACCAAACAACATCTTTTGGGAGATTCTAGTGCAAAAGACTTCTTTTGTGCAGGGGCGATGCTAATTTTTCTGTATCGTTCCAATTTTAGTACATGTGCTCATGGCGGCATATGTGCAAATGTGCTTGACACACTGGAGGTATGTATGGATTGGGATAAGAGATGTAAGAGCCCGCAATAAAAGTGTTTTTTTAAAGACTTCTTTATAGTGGTGAAGAACAATGATGTCACTTTAAGGACTGACCCAAGCCATGCTATTTTCAATTACCTCATATGCATGTGAAAACTGCACAATGAATTAGGGAGATTGAAGAATAGATACACTTAGTTTAAGGTATAGGAAAAGGAAACTGAGTATACTGTTGACACCCAGAACAATGAAGACTTCTCTCTTGGAAGAAGTATGTCCGAATGTACCTTAGACTAACTGGTGGGGATACTTTGTCTCATGTACTTTGGATATGTTATCAGGAGCAACTGGTCCGTGGCAAAGGACGCATGCTCAGTAAAGCAGAGGGTTGGAGTCAAAGAGGAAAACCCTCAATGAGAAGGGTTTTCAACGTGATGACTGCAGCACTGGGTTCAAATGGAGCATTGTGAGGATGTTGGGGAACCTGGTGGTGTTATGTGCTGTTGTACTTAGCGTCTCTGAGTCAGAATCAACTCAGCGACACCTAATCACAACAACTTCTTGAACTATAAATAATTTGGGGATATAGTCTATTTTAACACATCTTTATATTAGTATTTTATATGCAAAAGGACAATAAAATTGATCTTAATCAATGCAATTATACGATGTTTCATTTTATTGTGAAGTTAGTTTTCTTTTTGCATGGAAGGGTTTGCTCAGTTAGGGTTTCCTTGAGGCTGACACAATATATCACTGTGGTTGACTGTTGTTTTGTTTTATTTTTACTGCCTCAGTTTTAGTTTGTGTTCACTGAATATAGATTTGCTAAATTTTGTTCCCTTTTCTTATCATGAAAATTGCTTTGACATTGATGTAATAAATTCACAGCTTTAGATATCCCATTAGGTTAGGTATTATGATTTTTAGTTAGCTCTTTAGTGATTTCCTCTTTTTTCTTTTTATCTTTGGATCCTATAATATCCTCTTTTGCTAACTTCACCCTCTCAATCATGTCTTCATATTTTATGTTGAATCATTTTTTTCTTCTAGTTATAGTTCATATTTCCCTAACTCTTCACATGTCTAATAATATTTAAAGTATCCTGTACATTTTAAAATTACATTGTTGAAAGTTTGTTGTCTTCTTTAGCAATTTATGTACTTTATCTTAACTGGCAGTTAATTTATTTACAGAACATTTTGATATTTAGAAGTTTGGTTTTATGGAATATTGTATCAGATATATTAAAATATTTTCTCTGGACTTAGGTTAGCCCAACCACAAAAGCATAAATGACCTCTCTCTAATGCCAATGCTATGGGAGAATGTTAAAGATTTACTCTCTAGCTCTTCGGAACTTAAAATATTCCATCCAGAACTGAACTATAAAATTTTTCATTAGTTTACTGCTTCTCAGTCCTTCTTGGCCTACCTTATGCATGCTCACTCTAAGTATTCACTCTTCAGTATTCTTCAATAGATTCAAAGGGATCTCCAAGTATATTTATGAGGCTTTTACTCTTATACAACTCCCTCATCTCTGTCACTCTAGTCACAAATAGCTGTATCTACAGGCTGTTTAATAGCTTTCTACTTAGCTTGGTAATTTTCAATATTTCCTTCATTTAGTTCTCCTTATACCACTGTCCATAAAGTGTCCCCTTCCCCCTAAAGCCAGCAACGAAACAGAAGAGGCATCATTGCTTTACTTTTGTTCACACATTTCAAAGTACTCTCCAGGGTGTTGAACAATGTCTGTAAGCAGTTGGTTCATGTTGTTATTTATTTTTACATTTTATTTTACTCTGGGATGGAAAGATTTCCAGTTAACTTATAATGGCTGAAAATGTCACATCTAACTTTAAATGTCACTACTGCTCCATTGTCATGCTGTGGTGGTTTGCATGTTGCTCTAATACTGGAAGCTATGCCATTGGCATTTCCATCCATCAAGGTCACCCAATGTTAAAAGATTTCAATGGGATTTCCAGAAAGATGGTGCTGAGATGAGTCCCCTGCCTAGCACTCCCCTTGCATGGCACAGACATTGCCAGTTCCCGGGATTTAGATGCAGGACCTAGACTCTCAGCACTCTAGGATTATTTTAGACCTCCCTCTCTAATTTTCACCCACAAAGAACACAACAGAGTTCACTGCAGTCTCCCTTCTCCCCTAAGTTAGGAGGGGCGCTGGGGTGGTAAATTCCAGTCTCCTCCATTCTTCCCTAGTTCTGTGGCTCACCAGCCCAGGGCTTATGCCAACCCAAACCATCTCCCAAGTGGAGCCCACAGCCCTGTGCCCTCACGGACTACTGGGATCCTGAGATACTGGAGCTCACCTCGACCCATCAAACAGAGCCTTCATAGTTATAGCCCCTTCTGGGTCTTTAATGGATATCAGATAAAAATTCCCAGCTAATTCAAAAGGGATCCATTCCAGTAAAATAGGAACACAAGTTTAACCCTAGGAGTTTAAAAAAAATTTTAGATTTCCTTTCTTTCTTTCTATTTTTTTGTGAGAAATATAAATACAAAATTCCTTTTCCGACCAAAGGAACTAGAACCCAGAATTCCAGTGTTTCTTGGAGCACCCCCTCCCTTCTCTAGGTGTCTGGCTGACACCAGGACTGAGCAGGAATGCTTCCTGATTGGAAGTCCCCTGGCTCACTCCCACCTTGGGCTCCCACTTTAATAGCCTATTTCTACCCTAGGACAACATACAAAGAGTGGATAGGACTGAATTGTGTAGAAACCCACAACTATTGGGTCTTCTGTTATAAACACAATAACAGAATAGATTCACTCTCTCTTTTTAACATACAGGGCTGATGAGTGACTGGTCAATTTCTTAGTATACCCCTCACCAATCCCAACCACTATTACCTCAAGACACCGCTTCCTCCACCTCAGTAACATGCACTCTCTTATAATGTACCAAGTAAGAACACATCTCTTATAACCTCTTCTCCAACTCCTCAAAAATTATTATACTTAACAGGAAGTCTTCTTATGATTAATACCACCACTTAAAGTCTACTCCCAAGCACTTATATCCTATTCCTCCTACTCACCCATCAGCTACAACCCAAGAATCTTTTATCCATCAGACCTTTCCAAAAAATATGAAGGAGAAATAAAAGTTTTCTGAAACAAGGAAATATTTGTAAAATTTGTAAAACAAAACAAAACAAAAAACCACCCAGCATTATGAAAAACGGTATCCAGTTCTTATGGGCAGAAAACCAGCAACACTCAAACATAAGACCACCATGGGGTGTGCCAGCACCCAGACCAACAAACTGAAAACAGAACCCAATATTAAATCTATTGGAGAAAAGACTACACAAATAAATTGCTCAACATGGTTGTGCTACATCAATGCCCTATGCTGTACTAAGATTGCTGAAGACAAAATGGGTGCATAAACAAATGTGATGAGGAGAACGGATGGTGAAAAGATATTGACTATGCAAAGGTATAGCATTTGGGGTCTTAAAGGCTTGGAGTTATAAGAGCTGTAAGAGTCCCCAGTAAAATATTTCTGTTTTTTTAAAAGATATGTATTATTCTGTTAAACCCGTGACTGACATTCTCAATGATTATTATTGTAAATTTACTTGGCAAATAATCCCCAATGTTTGTGTAGATAGCGTCCTACCATGAAAGGATTAATTCTGTACAAGTGAATATTTCCGATACCGTGATATGGTCTTAGCCTACATTGGCCCAATAACTCTCTGTCAACAGGGCTTTAAAAAATTAGAACCAGGGGCTAATCAAAGAAAATATAAATGGAAGATCTTTATGTCCCAGAGGGATGATTGATGAGACTCTTTACCATAAATTAACAAGGATTTTTTTAAAGGGAGCCAAAGGCAGATAAAACAAACAAACAAAATTCCATAGATCCAGGAATGCACTAAACCCTAGCCCCAATTTAAGAACAATTGTATCTTAAATCATGGCCCTGGTGGATACTCACCTTCATGAAATGATCATGGAAGATAAGGACACTACAGCAAAGTGTGGTTAAGAAAGCAGATAGTGCCCAGCTATCAATCAAAATAGAATCTGGGGCCTTAAAGCCTTGTCTCTAGACAAGCAGCCATCTAAGTGAGATGTCAACTAAATCCACATGGAAGAAGCTCACCATTACCAGCCACTGAAAAACTGTAAATCTTGCCATTTGAAGTTGAAGAAGGGATTAATAACAGCTTAAATTGTGAAAATCTGGTTTGCAGAAGGCTATGGATGACGATGGGAGCCCAGGGTACATTTTGGGGAAGTTCATAGGAATAAACCTCGGGTGATTTCCTTCTATCCAAAATAGAGGAATGGGAATAAAGTGGTAGCTAAACAGAGTGCATCGGAGAGGTGAGCACAGAAGACCAACGGGGTAAACCTGACGTGAACAGATAAAACTCTGGGCTTTGATTTCCACCACCACCACCCCCCCACCCTCTGATGCATGCTGGGCCTGATCTGTTTTTCAACATTATCTGTACTTTAGTTTCTTCATTTTAGAGCTATCTCAGTGGTGTCATGTCATTGGAGGTTACCCACTTGAAGCTGTGTTTATGTTTTTCCTGTTTTTTTGGTATATGAAGCCCAGGATAGATGAACCTATAAGGATAGTGTGCTGGTCCCGGTAGACTAGAGAAGCAAATCCATAGAAAATCAATGAGGATAAGGGAGAGTTTTATATAAAGGGTAATTGTACATTAACAAAACATCTCAACCCAGTTCAGTCCAAGCCCATAAGTCTGATATTAGCCCATATGTCCGTTACCAATCTGTAAAGTCCTCTTCAGACTCACAAAATACATGCAATGACGCCAAATGCAGGATGCTCACAAGCCAGTGGGTAGAAAATCTTTGGATCCAATGGAATTGTAAGCATCTCAGTGCTGGCAAGGGTCTCCAAATGACTTCAGCTTCAAGGCTACATCAGGTTAGGTCCCCGTGGCTTCTCCTAATG